CCCTTGTTGAATTTGTTTATTTTGTATCCATATCTGATGCAAGCAAAAATTTGGAAAAGCCCCAATTTTTTGCAAGCAAAAGCAACTCTTCCTAGGATAATAAGAAATTACATGAAATACTCAAAATACACATTTGATATCATAAAAAGACACTTACAACAAAGGATGCTTATAAACTTATGAAATAAAAATAAACACCTAAAGTTGCAATTCCATCGTTTGAGAAGAAGGATATAAGTGGCATCAAACTTGCAGAGAGAAGAAATAGATTAGAAGCCGAGACGAAGAAGAGGACAAGAGAAAGGGAACTAGCTCGCAAGCTAGAACACAACCCGCAGGTTTCACATTCCAAATATTTTCTCACCAAATCATACATCTAAAATAACCCAAAATAATCCTATATATAGGAGGGAAGAAGAAGATCTAAAGCTCATAAAATAGCCCTCATAAATTGGAGAAGAGGAATCCCAAAAGTCACCATAAATTAGGAATTCCAAAAGTTCAGTCAAGGAATAGCGCCCAAACAGCCAGAAAGGGTTTGCATTCATTACAAAACATATCCGAAATAGCCACAAAAAAACCAGGAAAAATAGCCACGGGACAGCCAGCCAGGGGAGGAATTGAAGGGGCAGCACAGGGAACCGGGACAGCAGCCAAGGGAGAAACCGAAGGGGCACAAAGGGTTCCGGAACCAGCACCCAGCAAGGGAGAAGAACCAGCCACGGGAAACAACACCAGGAAGAAATCGAAGGGCCAAGGGAAGGGGAAAAGGCAATCATGAAAAGGGGAGCTAGGTGGGGAAACCAAAGAGTTTTTAGTGGGGGGAATGAACCAACATAAATACTCAATTTATGAGCTTAAAAAGTAATCCTAAAGACATTTATGAGCTAAAAAATAAGTAGAGGACATAGAAGCTTACTAAAATTACAACACAAAATGATTTGACCCCCCTCTTCGCCTACATCAATTTTCCCCTGTTTGAAATTGTTCATCTCCTGATGAAGCTTGAGTATGTTCCGGAGGCGTCGCAATCTAATTCTCGAACCTTGGCTTCATATTTTTTTAGAATCACATCTCGTTCTTGCTTGAATTGTTCTTGCAAAAATTTAATTTTATTCACATAGCTTTCCATAGAATTTGTATAACTCATTTTGAAGTGGGTTTGTTGAACTTATTTCTGTCGAAATTCATCTGTCCATTGGAATTTCTTCTTCAAAATCTTCTGGCTTGCATTCTCCCACAACTGACTCAATATTTTTGTCATTTTCCATTTTTTTAACACTAAAAAAAACACGAAAAAAAAAACTAGGAAGACACAAACCTAGGCTCTGATTCCAAATTGATGCAAGCAAAAATTTGAAAAAGCCCCAAATTTTTGCAAGCAAAAGCAACTCTTCTTAGGGTAATAAGAAATTACACGAAATACTCAAAATACACCTTTGATATCATAAAAAGACACTTACAACAAAGGACGCTTATAAACTTATGAAATAAAAATAAACACCTAAAGTTGCAATTTCATCGTTTGAGAAGAAGGATACAAGTGGCGTCGAACTTGCGGAGAGAAGAAAGGATTGGTAGCCGAGACGAAGAAGAGGACAATAGAATGGGAACTAGCTCGCAAGACCCGCAGGTTTCACATTCCAAATATTTTCTCACCAAAACATACTTCTAAAGCAACCCAAAGCAATCCTATATATAGGAGGGAAGAAGAAGCTCTAAAGGCCACAAAACTGCCCTCATAAATTGGAGAAGAGAAATCCCAAAAGTCACCATAAATTAGGAATTCCAAAAGTTCAGTTCAGGAACAACACCCAAATAGCCATAAAGGGGGCTGCATTCATTCCAAATCAACTCCCAAACAGCCACACAAAAACCAGGAAAAACAACCATGGGACAGCCAGCCAGGGGAGGAACCGAAGGGGCAACACAGGGAACCGGGATAGCAGCCAGGGGAGAAACCGAAGGGGCACAAAGGGGACCGGAACCAGCACCAGCAAGGGAGAAGAACCAGCCACGTGAAACAACACCAGGAAGGAACTGAAGGGCCAAGGGAAGGGGAAAAGGCAATCATGAAAAGGGGAGCTAGGTGGGGAAACCAAATTGTTTTTAGAGGGGGGAGTGAACCAACATAAATACTCAATTTATGAGCTTAAAAAGTAGTTCTAAAGACATTTATGAGGACAAAAGATTACTAAAATTAAACCAAAAATGTCTACATCAATATCTGATTTAGGCTAATAATGATAAACCTTGTGGGCAATGGAACATATAATAAAGATATGGAAGAAAGGAGCCTTGATGTTGGCTATACAATTAATTGCAAAGAGCGAATACTAAATTGATTTATGTAGAAAATAGCAAATTGCCTCAATTACTAATTTGGCAATTGACTGATCCATAAATGAAAGGTTATTAATGATTTTTGTATAAATCAGGAAAAATGCTAATGGCAGGTTGCATTTTAAAATATTTCAGAGGCTTCTGGAGCTTCTTTTAAAAGTTATTGGAATTAAACAGATTCATCATCCACGCACAGTTTTCAATGGGAAGGATTTTTTTTTTTTTTTGTCGAGGTACAATATTAAGCATACTCAATTTAGGAGGAACAGCAGCTGGAAAGGAAACAGGAAGAAAACCTTAGATGCTGATTGGCTAAGCATAATTAATAAAAGGAAAATGAAAGAGGAACTATTCAGTAAAAATTGGCTAGTGTATGGTAGTATCATTCAACTATAAAAAGGGGCAAAAAATTTTATAAAAAAAAAAGAGAAAAATGAATTAGTAGCTAGATGAACAGAAACGAGTATGTCTACCACAACAAGTCAAGAATTAGAGGTCCACTAGAAATTCTTGCTGGAGAAATGATCCTGTTAAATGAACGGATCTCTCTGCAATAACTGAAGCATGACCCTAGAGGGGAGGAGAAGCCGTTACAGTAGGAGACGTACCTGTCGTCTTGAGGTTATAAGGATATAAATACCCATTTAATTTAGTTGAAGTGGCTTGGTAAAGTAATTTGACCAACTAAAGAACTCCTTTTTGGAATGTTGTTGATCCAGTAAAATGCATTCTTGCTGCTTTTGAGCAAAAACAATTAAAGAGCTTTAGCAATTGGAACTTATTTATTTAGTTTGGAAATCCTCTTTGCATTAATAGAAATTTTTAAACAAGGTGTTTCCTTGTGTGAAGCTCTATGAAAAAATCCTTGTTCAACTTAGGTTTTGGTCTAATTCTAATATATTTAATTCTGTAGTGGACATTACTTTCTTTTGAGGTATCAATTGAATTGTTTTTCCTTTTAGAAGCAAAATAAAGTTCTCATAGGAAGCATTAGGGATTTATATGTAGCCAATAATCTAAAAGAAAAGAATATGCACCTAAGAGAAAAAAAAACTCTTGAAAATCAAAGGTTGAAACATGAATATAGACTGATCATGAAAATTAAAGTTGATAGATTAGCTAAAAAAAATATAGCTTTTAGATATGAACAAGGATTTATCCGTTTGAGCTAAAAACTTGTAAATCGAGCCAAGAGTGAATCCTCAACCAAAAACTAAGCAAACCAATAGAAATTTTGTAACATGAAATTAAAATCCATTTCCAAATATCTTGGATGCTAATCATTTAGCATGAAGTAGGTTGGGTGAAGCAGATGAGGCCAAAAATAACACAAAGGGACAATTTTAAATGGCATTAGAATAAAACAAAGAGCAAACAACCCATGCCCAAAAATAGTGAAATACCAAAAAATTGATCAAATTGGTTTTAGGGGAATATTGGCTGTATCTTGACATTTTAGAAAATTTTTATTCTTCTCATGGTCTCTCCTACAAAACTTTTCATAACTATCTACATTGCAAATCCTATTCAAATATTTTCTTGTTGAAATGCCCTCCACAAATTTATTCCTACACACAATCAAGGAATTGTGACCGAGCTTATTAGATTTATCAAGATATTATCAGGGCATAAAAACCTTCACTATGAAGTTCATCCCTTGAAATTAAAACAATTTGTCAATCCAAGGAGCCTCTAATTGGTGAACACAAAACAAGCATGAGATGAAAGCGTAAAATTAGAAGTAGAGGGACAAGTCAAAATAAGAATTTTCAAAGGAAATTGAAATGAATCATATGAAAGGGAGGTGGCATTCTGTTTTGTTAGAGGTATCTGTAGACATTGTCCTAAAGCAATAACAATATAGAGAACCAACTTATCATTATAATTGGCAAGACATTCGACATTATAACCAATATTTGAAAAGGAAACTCTCAAAGTCAAATTCAAACTAGAATCATTGTCAACTAGGTTAATAGTTTGGAATGAAGTAAAAGAATTTTTTTAAGGTGATGCATGCTGTCCCAAATCCATATTATTCATAGTTTGGATCAGCTTTGTGTTGATAGGTAAGAAATCCTTGGCTTAATATTGAGTTCTTATCATTAAGCTATTTTTTTCCCCCCCCCCCCCTTTTCCCAAAATATAGACAATGCACTAAGCTATATGCTTACCAAAATGGAAAGTGTTGCGTTCAGATACAAACATGCTCATTAAAAAGAGTCCAACTGAAATTAGAAAATAAAAATTAAAAAGAGTCCAACTGAAATTAGAAAATAAAAATGGAGACTTCGCTTTCCCTATGGAGATTTCTTCATAGTGCACTGGTTCAGCTTCTCGTGAATTTTGTAAGCAAATAATTAAATTTTATTTACCAATTGTACTTCTCTCTTGCCCATGCTTGCTAAATGTTTTGTTTATTTCACAATAAATTGCGGACTTGTTGAGGAAAGGTCATGTCTGAACATGGTTTACTTCTGAAATCTTTTAAAAGACAATCAAAAACAATGCAGCCAATGATTATTACTTTGCTTCTCTTTGACTTGTTGCCCACAGAATTTGACCCATTCTTGACGTCAGTTTGTTCTCTTTTTGTTTTCATGTGATTATTAGAGAATAATCCAATACTAACTATTGCTATTACCTTTTGCCTCATATAGGTGGCTCCATTCAATACCTATTACCCACAGATTGAAGAGCACTTGGCTTATGCTGGTGTTGATGCAACCATTAATAAGTGGGATGAACCGGTGGTGCTGGGATTGGTTGATCCTCATGACTCACTATCTCATCCTGCTGGAGTGTCTGATGTTCAAGCTGAATCTGCAGCATACCTTGATCCCGAGCAATTTTCAAATTTTTGGGCAAGTTTAAAAAATTGCATCATGCTGTTAAAAAAAAAAAAAAAAAGATTTACTTTTTTAATATTTGGAAATCTTTGTACCCTCGCCCTATTAGCTTGTCATCGATATTCACCTGTTGGCATTCAGTCTGTATACTTTATCTAGATGTAATTGTTTGCTTTAATTTTTTTGAGGATTTTTACTAATTTTTTAAACTTTTCTCTTGGAAGGACGCCCAACCAATTTGTATTTACTCATTCGCTGATCTCTTCAAATTTATAATGCAGATTCCCAGCTGGTTTGGAGATTCATCCTCACATTTAACAAGATATAATCCTTTTCCATTACCTGAAATATATGTGGCATCTCAGAGGAATAAGGTAGCTTTGCTCCATATTTATGATTTTGATTTTTGTTATTCGTACTAATTATCTTAATTCAATGAGTTCTTCGTCTCTGTATGTGTTTCTGCAACTGTAAGATCTATATCAGCTGTTTAAAATATTTAAATTTTTTTATGGATGTTTTGATATCTTTCGACCCTCTTATGAATGTACTTTTTGACTCTTGGTTGCTATGCTCACCTTCAAATGAATCATTTTCCAGCTTTTACTTCTGGCTGAAATCCAAAAAGCTATAAGGGATTTGCAAATAGATGATGACAAGAGACGGGAACTAGCATGTGCTCTTCATGTGCATTTCAAGGATTGGTTATATGGTAAAGTTTTCTTATGTTCTACGTTTCTGCACCATTCAACATTTGTTGTCAAAGGTCTCTCATGTACTTGACTAATCTGTTCCTCCTCTAAAAGTGGCCTTCTGAATTTCTTACTTCTATGCCGTTTTAATTGTTTTGTTTCCTTCCTGTTTTGGTTACATTGGAAAATGTTAGTTGGAGTGACTGTAAAGCAGTGTAAAAGGATTATTTAAACCCCTGGTCTCTAGGCCGCATTTAGTGTACATTATTTTGGATACTTAACCTGCATCTCATAGAAGAAGATATTGCATCCATATTTTTTATTCCGAAAAATAATTTTAGGTTAAAGAATCAGTTCATTCAATTAATGCTGTAATCTACAGGAGTTCTATTTACATTGCGCTACAAAATGACCCTTTAATTTTTATAAGCTGAAGAATGTAGAGTTAAACTCAAAAGCTGGCATGCTTTTACTGATTATGTTTAAAACTAAGAAGATTCACTGCTTTTAGAACTAGTTTTTGTAATGGATATAGCAAGCAGCAAGCCACATTAGGCAGATTTTTCAGATGGCCCTATTGTACTTGGGCTATAAATTTTGTCAAATAGCTAGCTCTCAATTGTACTCTAAAAATTAGGTAGAAAGAATCTAAGAAAACTATAAATGTGATTAAGATGTGTCAATCTCCCTGTAAAGATATGGTATGCTGTGTTAAATTCTATTGCATTTATCATGAATCCTGTCATAAACTGGAGGCCGTTTCATATTTAGTTTGCAATTTATGCTAATTGTTTTTTTATATGTTCTTGATATTTGTATGATGGATTGGTGCCAGAAAAATGTTGTTAGAAGCATTAGATATATCTATCTTTTTGAATATTACAATTTTTATGAACTAGATTAATATATATCTAATATGTTTTTGCCTTATAAAGATTATCTCAACTTATAAAATATCGATTTCATCTGATAAGAGTAAAAAAGGATAATCATCATTATAGTTATCCTAATTATTTATGCAATATTAATTTCTTGTGAAATCACTCATGATACGTATATAATGGATTAGTGAGGGGTAATGTTCTTCGTAGATGTAGAAAATTTTCATCTTTAGGAGATGAGGATTCTGTAATGAATGTTAATAGCACTTTTCAACTTTGAAAATATCCAAATTAGGTGCGTTTTATTATTAAAGCTTTAAAGTGTATAATGATAATTGTCATCATTATCATTGTCCAAACTATTTAGGATTGATTTTATGAATCATCCATTATACATATTTAATGAGTGCTACATGAGTATTATTAAAAAAAAAAAAACATTAGCACGTGTTTTTGTTCAACATTAGCTATCTTGTTTGATACTTTTTTGCTAGTTTTATTTATCTATTTGCTTGGTGCGTCTATTGTATCCATTGTGTTTGTACACGTAAATTTAATTTTCACTTTTCTTCTATCACTACCTAAAATTTAAATATTATTCTATCCTTAATTTTATTACACATACATCTAGCATGCTCATTATTAAAACTTGATCCATATAGCATTATGAATCTAATTGCAATTAGGTTAATTTATGTTTTGTGTCTATGATATTCCTAAAACAATATGATGCACATCAATATTTGGTCAATCTGTTAATCCTAATCCCCTTGTTTAGGAAGAACGGACATTTCTAAATAACCTTTGTGTTCAAGTTGGATGTGTCAAACACAAGATGTCTCTGATTCTGACATGCCCTATCACATGTCCAACATGCTAAAGTTATGTTGGAAGCATCTCAATATAAAATTATTTATTTGGACAAGGCATGACCCAATCAGTACATAGCTTGACACGGTGCAAGGGCACATGCATGAGGAACTACTAGCTCATGAGATATCAATACACCACAAAACATATGACAATTGATAATGATTAATGAATGCTAATATTGAAGTGTTATTAACAAATGATAATCGTCACATGCGATAAATCATTTATTTCAATATTAGTAGTGTTTGTTTTTCTTTAATTATTGTTTAGCTTCTTTTGCAACTTTTTAATATTATTTTGAAGACAAGAAAGATGTCAGATGAGTGGAGTATATTTGGTTCATATTTTTAATAATAAAAGTGATGCACAAGAGTGTACTAATTTGAGTTAGGGGTGGGTCGGGTCCGGGTCTAGATTTCTGACATGCTTGTCTACTCAAGTCAGGTTCGAGTCGGGTTAGTTGAAGGCAGTTCAGTTTTGGGTTGGACCCAAACCCGACTTGAAAACTCATTTTGACTCCTACTCAAGTGGATGAGTGGTTTTACACTTAGAGATAGAATGTGAAATAAGTATATGCATGAAAAGATTGGAGTAGCTCCAATGGAAGATAAAATTAGATAGAGCCGTCTTAGATGGTTTCGTCAGATAAAACATCAGCTTCTGATGATTTTGGTTATGAGATTAGATGTGTTAAATCCTAACTATGTTACGAAAGATAGAGGTGGAACTAAAAAGACTTTTGGTCATAAAGTATTAGAAATGATATTTTTTATTAGATTTAAGTAAGGATTTGACTCTTAATAGGACACAATCGAGGAGGGTTCATGTGGTCGACCCCACGTTGGATAAATGCTTGATGTTGTTGTTGTCGTTGTAGCTTCTTTTGTGATGTATATGATACTTCATTGGGTGATGCTTTTAGTAGAAAATACTATAAAGTACATATTTTATATTTAAAATTTTATAAAATATAGCATTGTATCCATGACGTGTCATATCATCATTGGTTGTCAATGTCATCATTTCCGTATTCCTGCTTCATTGCCCCTTCTAAATATTTCTTTCATGTGTTGGTTTTTAAACTTCAACAAAGATCATTCCTATCAAAATCATGCATTTTCCCGAGAACGTTATGTTGTATATCATCTGTTAGCATCAAGATAAACATCACAATACATATTTACTTTTGATTATATAATCCCAATGCGTCTTGCCTAAAATACAAGATGCCCCAGGCAATGTCTACCTAATACCATTTTGTCAAGTAAAAGAAATAGCTATATTGTTTTATAAGCTTTTTTGTTTACCTTACTGATTATATGCAAGTGGAATACATTGAAGAGAATAATATGACAATCATCACATTAAACTAGTGTTTAAAAAGCATGCTTTAAAGTGCAAAAGAATTGCAGTTCATAGCAAAGCGATCTCAAAATGCTCTCAAGCATGACCATCAAAGCATTTGGAGCATGAAACATTCACTCTTGATGTAAAGCATACATTTTATCATGTGCTTGCACGGAAAGCTTATGCTTTAGTTTTTGTGAATTCTGAAAACTCAATTTATCTTCTTTATGCCAACTCTAATCTAGAGCAGATAAGGTGATAATCTATTGATAATGTAGGTTTCTCGTTAAAAAAATATTCAGGAAAATGTAAACAGGAAATATCCCCATGAAAGTCCTGCTAAGATTAAATAGTGGATGATTCAAGAGTTTCTAAAGTAGTTCTTTGAGTTATTTGCCACACCACTTCCTACCCAAAATTGAGTTATCATATCTAAAGATGACGGAATCTCTTTAGTCAGTGATGAAACTTCCAAAATTTAAAAATTATTTGCCCCTAAGCTACCGTGATCCATAAGCACCCTAATGAAGACTTTTTGGGCTGGATTACTATTCCTCCACCTTTCCAATACAAATCAAGGAAAACAGGTGTCTGATTCCTCAGTAAAGCAGCAAGTGATTTCTAGCCTAAGAACAACAATAATTATCTTAAAAGGGCTTACTGGATCCATTTTTTAAGGCTAAACATTCTATATTTTATTTTATTCATCTCGCTCAACTTCCAGCTCACTTGGGCATCAGCCGTTGGAATAGAACTTTTTAGGATTCAGCCCTGGGGAGCCGTCAATTCAGGAAATTCATTTCTTTGCTTTCTTAAAGCAAATGCTTTATTTTTCATTTGTAGAAGTAAATTCCCTTTCAGATTTCTAAATGAGCTTTTTTTTAATTTGAAGCTCAGAGCTGCTGCTCCTCTATAAATATGTTTTGTTTTGCCATAAATAAGGAGATCAAGTTTAGAGTAAGATTCTAGTAATAATGTGCTTCCTGGCTTCCTGCTTCCTTCTTCCTTCTTCCTTCTTTCTTGATGGAAATTGACTAAATTGTCTTGAAATTTAGAAATGCATTTAAGGATTGAAAGCTATTCCTTTTTAACAATAGACTGTTTTAGTTGAGTAGGGATCCATTGACGCAAAATGTATTGAACAAATCATTCATTAGAAGAGTGAGTTTTTTTAAGATACCTTCATAGGCCATATTAAAGGCATCAATTTTGACTCTCTCTCTCTCTCTCTCTCTCTCTCTCTCTCTCTCTATATATATATATATATACTTCAAATATATTTTTCACACATCTTTTTTGTCTTATACCCATTACATTATTTTTTTGTGGCATTTTAATCGTGTCCTCCTAAACAATGTCAGTACCATTTCATTACTATGGAAACTTTAATAAATGGAAGTGCCCATGACCGTTTATTGAGGCTGATAATGGTGGACATGTTAAAGGCTTCCCTCCATGCAGTGAAGAATAGGGGTAATCTTTAACCTATGCCCGCTTCTACTGAATAGTGATACGAGCATCCTAGGCGCATTTCATGTTATTTACATATGAGAGCAAACTAATAAATCTGAATTTCCCTTATTATGCATTCAATTTGTTAAATTCTTCAAATTTTTTTACTTTTTTTGGCAAAAACATGTAGGTTTATTGGGTTTCATTATCTCAAATTGCCTAATTGCATTTAATTCCTTGTAATCAAAACACATCTCAGTTTTGGTTTATGTGCTTTGCAGCTTCAGGCAATATACGCCAACTCTACTGCTTACAGGGAGATTGAAGCTGATCAAGTGTTTCCAAGACGATCCGATTCTCTCTTTGGTTAGAGCTGTCTATCCCCATTCATCAGTGTCATTTGCTGGCAACAACTTTATTTTGCACTAAATCTGAGTTCTCAATTTTGGGTGTTGTCAGTGGACAAGCCGTGTGAATATGCTATATTTGTCCCCTGTAGTTAACTGTATTATTAATCTTGTTCTAGGCATTGCAGATATTTTCCTCTTTTGTATTTTTCTTCTTGGGGGTGTAATCTAGGTGGTCTTTGTTCGATGGGATAGATTTGTTTGGAGCAGGGAAATAAAAGAAAGTTACGTGATCCTTTGAAGTGGGCTGCCATACATACCCTAGTTGAGTTTATGCTTTTAAAAGCCTGTTCGTTAGTTTTCAGGTTAAGGATAGTTTGTTGAATTGCTTGAAATGTATGGTAATATCTTTCGTAATGCAAAAACAGCTTGTATAGAGTATTATTTGAGGTGTCATGCCTGCTTGTAATGACAGTAAATCATTGTATTTCAACTTCATCTTTCTGCTTCAGACCAGAAATAGCGAGTTTTTTGCATAATTTTTAAAATCCTTGCAGTGGTTTCACTTGTGGTTTAATTTAGATAGATTTAACGCAATTAGCTTGCTGCAGGAATTTGTTTTTTGAAGGTATTGTGTTTTGGAATTGACCGGCCAGTTTGATTGAGTCTTTGTGTTTATGTTTGGTGCCTACGATTGGCTCACCGCTGATCTCAATTTGATGCAGGTCAGATTTGATTTCAGTATCATGATAATTTTCAAAGATTTTTATCGGTTAATTTGTTACCCATAATACACTAAATTAGTTTGATTTGTGGATTGTATTACCTTATATTTAATTTAATATAAAGAGCTTAATGTATTTTACAAAGGATGGGCTCGATAGTTATGTGCTTTGGTGCCAAGGATGACTTTCACCTGTTAGGTAGCTGTGTCAATTCTGGTCAACAGATTAGGTTCGGGCTGAATCCGACTTGATCAGGCCGTAAATAGACCCGACCCGTGCGGGCTACTGAGTTGGCATGACCTGACCAGTGAATAGCTATGGAGCATACAGGTTCACCGAGTCTGGCAGAGTGGCTGCATCGATAGCAGACTAGCACCCAATGGCAACGAGTGCGACGTACGAGATGGATCGGGGAAGAAGATTACACAAGTGAGACTGAGCGGGCTGGACTGACGGTGGTGACACGCCGACATTTGACGCGGATTGGCAAATGCGACCCGACGTTGCAACCTCTGACGCGATGCCTGTCCTAACACGTGATGACCAAATTGGTCAATCCATGTTGACTTCAGGTTGTCAGGTCAACCTGAACCTGATCTATTTTCAAACGGGTTAAAAATCCAAATTCAGACCAAACTCGTTTCACAAACTGGTTGATCCGAACCTGAATTTTTCCGAATCAAATTTTAGGTAGTGTCAACTTTTGACACCCGTACTACTAGGACAATCAGAGAAGATGGTGCTTTATTAGATATATATGAATTGATTTTACTAAATTCTGTTTGTCCCATTAACATATATATATATATATATATCACTTAGGTTGATTCATAACATTCAATTCTCATGGAAGCAGCAATTTTTTTGGTTCGGCAAATAATAAACTCATACAATTTCATATCTAATTTAATGAATCAGAACCTCTTCACATGAGTAAGAGCTCCATTCTTGCTGCTTGATTCGAGCATGGCTTCCAAAACGGCAACGTCTCTAACACCCTCTAAATATGAACTACGAGGCTCAGCTTCGGGCCTTGTTGTTGTGTACTGCAAACAAAAAAAAAATGGAAGCAAATAATTAGAATAGGTTATTCATAAAGTAAACAATCTTCAAAAGTTTTATGATAGATTATTCATGAGAAATATTCAGTCCAATCGCATTTTATACTATGCATCTGTAATCTTACTATGCGCAATTTTGTTCACTCTTATGTGGGGGTATTAAATGAGCCAAAGCTAGGTAAATTCAAGTGTTATTCGCTGCAGCGTAGTACGTAAACAAGGTATATTTTTATGTTCATATTTGGTTCGTTAATTTATCAAGTAAAGTGGTATTCGCTGCAACAGATTGCTGCTGGCAACAATGGTGGCAGGTGGAGGCAGCTAGGGGCGATGGAAATGGATGATGGGCGGCAGTGGGAGATAGGTGGTGGCGGCTGGTGAAGGAGGTCAAGCGAGCTTGTGTAAATAATTTTCACTCAAATTTTGACAAGTTTAGTTTATCTTAAAAATGAACTAAAATGAAACTACCTCAAAAAAGAACTAAAATGATTTACACTACATTCACTTTACTTTGCATTTCTTTTTCTTCCGACCAAACATCTTCAAACCCTTGCATTTGAAATACTTTACACTCATTTTACTTCCAATCAAATAGCCCTTGAGTTTGATGTGTATTCACATAAGTCGTTTGTTTGATGGGATCCATGCCATGAAAGATGTTCATTGACCATCGTGTGACACATTGGTAACACATGGAATAAGGGGAGGTAAGATTAATGGCACAAGCTTGATATTTGACATAATTAAGCTTGAGCAGCTGCTTACACCGCCTAAAGTGAATGTTGCGTTGGTTAGAGATTATAAGAGACCTAAAAAGGAGATGAGATGAGCTTGGAGAAAGACTTAAAGAATTTACTTGAATTTTGGGTATGTAACAACATTTCATTTAATATAGAAAGCAAGTGTTATTGTCTCGTATTATAGCATTGATTTAAATGATATGAGTATGCAAAGAAATTTCTTTTATGTTATGTGATATGCAAGTGAAATTCTACACATATTCTACACTAAATGAAACTATTCCTATGATATTATATATGCTTATTGCTTTTTGTATTGATATGTATATGTTTATTGCTTTGCGCACTGCTTGTCATAAATGAAATGCATTGATATGCATATGTTAAATGATTTGCGCATTGCTTATGATATCTCATAAAAATTTAATGGCTCTTGCCATGAATGCCATCAATCACCAAGGAAAAGTCTAAGTATAACTCTTCCTTGTGAGTCTCCTCAATGTGTAAATGAGAAGAAGAGTAGAGAGTATTTTTTCTTGCAGTAGATTAAATTTATCTTAATCAGATTTTCCCTGATGTTAGATTAGGGTTTATTTTATATATAGAGCACAAGTCACCATAGTTATTTACTATTGGAAGCCAATGCATGAAGACTATAACTAGATGTTATGAACTTTTCAAAGGATTTTTTTTTTTTAGCGGGGGTATCTATCAGCTGTCACTCCAAAAGGAGCGCTTCGCGGCGTAACTAATCCCTCGGCGGAACCTAGTGAGGCCATCCACCGGCATCGGACTCGCACTTGCATCACTGAAGAGGCGAGGCCGTAGTAGGGGGGATTCGAACCCGAGATGGAACCGTGCTCGCCGACCAACCACCCTAAGCCCCGGTGAGTTTTCAAAAGATTTTAGTCACATCCTAAATTAAATCTAGGTCAGCACTTATGTTAAAAAGCCTACAAATCAAAATAAAAATGCTCACTAAAAAATCATAATACAAAAAACACATGTTTTAAACGTGCTTCAAGTCAAGTTAAAACTTATGAAAAATTAATGTTCACAATATGTTCTTCTTATATCTAATACCTCTGAAACACAATTGGTCATACTTTGTGCCTCTAAATCATTCAATGAAAGAAATAACTAACCTTCTGTTAGTGAATGACTTTATATCGATCTCAAAAGTACATATTTATCAAACTCATCTTGCCATTATGACCCATGATTGTTAATCAAACTCCCTGAATGTTACGACTAAAAACCCGTGATGTTGGAAGATGGGGCCAAAACCTTATGATTTTGATCCTACATGCATTCCCCAACCATTCTCCATCAATTAAATTAAAGCCTATGTATTAAATCTAGCCTTAAAATTAAACCTAACCAACCTCCCTAATAAAGAGTGCTCTCTCATGAACAAAAAAAGATAATTAACTATAAGGATTTGCTCCTACCAGAATCTTAATAAACCCTTGACATAACATACATAAAAGTTTTGTTTAAATAAATCTAATTTGTCTCAAGAGAGAATAAAGAATTACTACCTGATTTTCTATTACATATCAAGGAAGCTAGAGGGAGGACATTGATCACTTGGTTTTATCTCTAGGGTTGCAAATGAATCGAGCGTTTGACGAGCTACTTGTGGCTTGGCTCGAGAAGAGCTTGTTCATGTTCGTTTGATAAGTTAAATGAATGTGGGCTCCGAAAATTCGACCCCGGCCTTCGCCCGATGTTGCTTTTATTTCGGGGGATTTTAATGAATTAAGTTCCGGGGTAAATTTTGAAAAGGCAGATGAGTTTGTAGATAAGACACTACCAAGAGATTTCGCCCTCATTTTGCGAGGACTTTATGATATGAGTTCTGGTTTCCTATAGGCGCAAGCCCCTATAGTTAATTATCCCTCCCGATAATAAGAGAGATCTTTCGATTAAGGCTAGTCGTCAATCAGATACGTAGAGATGTGTGTTATCTGGCATTTAGTAGCAGCAAGGGCATATGTATTTGAAAATTTTGGATGTTTGAAAATCTGGGTTGAGACATTTAAGAAGTTTGATATTTAAGATTGAAAATTTTCACCATCTTGCACTTAAAGCGGATGGTGGGGGAATGGATGATGGACCCGATGAAGATCCCATGTTCCGTCATCCCGGGCCATCGTGGTCCCTGGTCTACTTAGTCAGAGGAGATAGTCGACCCAACCTGACAGAAAGATCCTTGTCAGCAGCAATGGATTGCTTCGTCCAAGGGGACCTTATAGATCTGAGGTGAATGTTTATCTAAGGGGACAAATTTGAATCCACCTTAGCTAACAGAGGGATTTGTGACCTATCGATCATATCCTATTGATTCATATCTCAAGGATTTGATGCCACTAAGAAACGTATTGGCTCTGGCCATAAACGATATTTCATGGTGACATTTGGCAGCAAAACCACTTGGTTCAGAGGGCCCTGGGTCATAACGATTTATCCTGCGGTGCCATAACTGCCGGTCAGAGGACACGTACCACGTCCTTATTGGTAGCAGATTGTTTGAGAATGGATCCTAGTGATATTTTCGATTAGGCATTAACTCTTTGTGAGCCAAAGTAAATTTTAATTTGTCCATCCTGGCAAACTACTGCGGAGGGTGGATGGAATTTTCTTTAAGCGCTTGAATGGTTGAATTTTGATTTTAAATATCTAGATTTTTGAGATTTTTATGGGTATTTGAATAGATCTTAGAAGACATTTGAATACTTGGAATTAACCCCTCCGGTTAAGATTTTCTTCAACACGACCATCATCGGGGTGAAAGAGTTTATTTCCCTTTGTTGATTGAACATTGTCGACTCTGTCAGTTTGCCGACAGAGAATTGAGTTTCATAGGTTTTATGTCTTTATTAGTGAATTCTCTTGATTATAGGCCTTGAACGCCTAATATGAATGCATTTAAACAAATATACCGGTCACCACAACTGTATATTTATTTGATGGTTCGAACCATGTCGATTCTTATTGATCCGTAAAGGAGGATCGGGTTCGAACTTGAATTCACTTATTAAACCGCTCAAAATCCCTAGATGTCACGTCATGTGTATACTTATAACACGCTCGTCGGAGCCCATGCGGTTTTCGTGATTGCACTTACCCATTGTGTACCTATGTGTATACAAACTACGGTGCATGTGCGGGGGCATTTTGGACATTTGACGATCTTCTACGATAGATCGTAGAAGTTTGCATCTGTTATAGCCTCCTTATACTTGCCCGTAAACAATATGCTGAATGTATGAGTGTATGCCTATATTTGTAGAGAATCCATCACTTTTACCTCATTTCTATCAATGTTACTTGTAATTGAATTGCCAATTACATTTGTATTGATTTCAAGCACACCATAACATTCAATATGCATTGCTTGTTAGTTGGACCATTGCATGCATTTTCAGTATTCTGTGAGCAAGTTACTTTGAACGTAGATCTCCTACCATCATCTTCGTTGTAGTCATTTGCCCCTTTTGTTCGTAAATGACATTTTGCATATTATAGAGGATCTATAGACACTTTTGTTTGCTACATACCATCTGGTGTTCTCTTGCAATGGATCGATGTATCTACTCAACATTGAAGGGCGATTGATTGTAATAATGTCATAGCATTCATTGCCTTATGCTATGGCAGCTTATAAATGTATAGGTATCATGATAATCCCCCATTCTTGTTAGCAGGTGTTAGTGTTCATCATATGCTGCAATGTATGTATTATCCTCTTCTTTGCACATTACTCATCGTATTCACCAATAACTCCCTTCATTAGTGCTTTCAAGTCTTCTTTAAATGAACTCATGGACTAATTGACATAGACATCACAAGCTCTATGTTGTTTGTGCCATTCCCTCAGTGGATCCGTATATCCATCAGGAGCCTTTCCAGTGAATTAACGTTGTCATCGTGTGTTATATATGACCACTTATATGTAGCTTGCTATAACTACTATGAACCCCCTTGCATCATGAGCAGCTCTTTATATTGCAAATTCTTTGATCCATGCATGTAGACAATTCACACTCATCAGACGCTTCTTTTCATATATGCATGTGACATATATGTCTTTCACGAATTAACCAGCATTATTGGTATGCTTGATATTTTTTCCACATTTTTCTTTCATTTGTTCACAGGTATGCTGCATTCATTGCCACTCCCTGACCTATGCTTGCAAGACTTATTATACCATATCACATGTTGATATTGAATGCCCGA